TGCTTCTGTGAGAAATTTCCACTCAGTGGGAGCCACCCTGTCTGGACGTGATAAAGTATCGGCCAGTATGTTTCTACATCCGGGGATGTGCTGAACTATGAACCTTAGTCACAGCCGATCCACTAGATGGAAGAAATCTGAATGTCCTTAGAAGTGGAGAGTGGGAGTGTGTTGTTCCCCGATTGCACAGGCACCACACCGCAGTGCTGTTGTCTGTGGATATAGCGAGTCGGGCTAACTGTAGTTGATTCTGCCAATGTGATATCGCCAGAATTAAAGCTTCCATCTCCAAGTTGTTTATGTGCCACTTCCATTGTGCGCCGGGCCATAGCCCTGAGCTTATCTGGTCTTGTAAGTGAAGACTCCACCCCTGAAAGGGGACGTCCACAAACAGGTGTGTATTCGGGGAAAACCCGAATAAACAGACTCCGCAGACATTCAGCGCCACAAATTGAGGCAAGGCTCTAGCTTAGTTGGTAGAGTGATGGCCTTGAGTGGATCCTGACTCCTGATGTAAGGGTTCAGGAAAAAATTGAATTGGTCGCTGTTGTAAGCGGCCCATGCTAGTTAACTCCTGTGCCGAGGTGATTAACCCTAGCAACACTTGCCACTGGCGAAGTGTGTGTGGTTGGTGTAGAGTAGATGACAAAAGAAGAAGAAACTTTTGCCATCTGTCCCTCGGTACAGATAGGATATCCTGGTCTGTCTTAAACAGGTCTCCTATGAACTGAAGTCAATAGGAAGGAGAATACTCCCGACTTCGCCTCGTTGATTGTCTATCCCAGTTATTGACATGTGTTGATGATACAGTAGATCGCCCTCCATCTACGACTCGAACCAAGTGTTCGTCACGTGTAGGTAGTTATTGGCTTCATTACTCCTGTAAATAGCCATAAGTGTCACTGACATGTCAAATGGGAAATACTACCATTGGTAGTGAACCCCAATGAACTGGACCTGAAAAGTCTACGGTTGGGATGGATAGTCGAGACTGATCAAGAATCAAACGTTCGTTGAACACAGAGATTGTGGATCATTCTCATCTTGTCTGGGTCCTTCATGGGTACCAGGTAGGTGTGAGGATAAAACCCCGGAGTAAAGACTGGGTTGTGAACCCACTCTACAGCTCTTCTTACCAACAGTATGTCAATGTTGGATTTTCCCAATCAAACTGTGGTCAACGGTGGGGTTAACTCTACCCTTATACGGACACCATGATATAGTGCGATAAGTACGAAATCGTCCTTGAGACTTGTCTCTGCCACTCCCTTTCTCAGTAAGGGAATGCTGGTCTTCCCTGAGAAACGCGCGTCTAGGCTTATAATTCCCTGACTTGGACTTTCCAAGCTTTTTGGGAACTTGACGTGCGTGTCTGCGATCTGTTCGTTGAACAGGGGAGTAGATGATCAAGGTTGACGTAATAGACTGCCCTTGAAACCAGCATCTCAGTTGGAAACGCTATAAAGTCTTGGGTGTAACGGTAATCACCGTCAGAACGGTCTCAAGATGAATTTTCCTGTGGTCAAACTGACGCTGTAGGAAAAACACCATAGTTTGGAAGTGATCTAATCAGATAGGGTTATCCTCTAATAGATTCTGATCCACTGCAAACATTGACGATATTGGTCGCTTAAATCACGGAGCAAATGTGAGTTTTGGAGAAGGCTTCCTCCAATGACCTCGTGGTGTCCCTCTTATTTACCCTGTTATCAGGGGAGGGCGTTACTGACACGAGATGGTCTGCTTCCCAATCGGGTACATGTGCTAAGCTGATCATGTGCCGGTTACGTAACCGAGTACACTGTAAGCCTTGGGCTAACGTCATTGTAGAGACCTTGATTGATACGCAGACGCTGCACTCAGCGCAGGTCTGGAATGTTGGAACAGCGCTAAGCTGATCGTGCGACGTTTGCGTAATAGGAGCGCTTTGGGTAGCAGTCAGACGCTGCGCTCGGCGCAGGTCTATGCTGGATATGTTGGAACAGCGCTAAGCTGATCGTGCGTCACTGGCGTGATAGGAGCGCTTGGGTATCAGTCAGACGCTGCGCTCGGCGCAGGTCTATGCTGGATATGTTGGAACAGCGCTAAGCTGATCGTGCGCCGCTTGCGTAATAGAAGTGCTTGGGTTGTAGTCAAGTGCTGCGCTCGGCGCAGATAAATCAGACACAAAGCTCAAAAGTATTGACTGGATCACGGCTTGCGTCTAATCTACCCCCATCATAGCATCTCGATACGCTGGTGCTGGGGCTGTCGCCGAGGTCACAGATTATCATACATGTATCTGGAAGTGTCCGGCGGCTGAAAAAATAGGAGCAGTTACGATACTCACAAAATCCTCCGGTATTGTTGATTTCGGTGGATGGTGTACTTCTGCAATCACAGTCGTCATAATACCTGCCGATAATAACGGTTGGGTGGTAATGACAGAACCATATGTCATTCGCTATTCTGCGATAGTGACATTCCTCGCGTCTCACGACGGAATAACTGCAAAATATGATTGTGAGTAATCTGCTTTTATATAGTAAACTCGTTGGATTAGAGATTTACATAAAAATTACATTTTGAATTTTGGCGAGCACATCTACGTGCATGCCTATGACCGTGGATAAAGAGCTTTGGGCGATTATTCCACGACAATATGTACACCGAGCAAACATAATTATGTTACGCAATTAAACCATTGAAGAAATGGTACTGGAAGAATGCCGTAGAATTGAACAGTAATCTATCGGCAAAAATACGAATTGCAAGGGTATACAATATTTTTATATACGCAATTCAATGTAAACCAAGGCTATTTACATTAAGAGATTGGAGAGCACATCCGCGCGCAAACCAACCAATCGTGGATGATAATCTTGTAAGGTTTTTTCCACGACAATTAGTAAAATGCTCAAAGGTATGTTACGCAATGAAACCCTTGTTGATGAGATAATACTGGAAGAGTGCCGAAGAATTTGAACACTAATCTATCGGCAAATTTATGAGTTGCAAGGATATACAATATTTTTGTATGCGCAACCCAATGTAAACCAAGGGTATTTATATTTTCATTTAGGGTTTGGAGAGCACATCTGCGCGCAAACCAAACAACGTGGATGATAATCTTTGTAAGATTTTTCCCACGACAATTAATACCACGCTCAATCATAAGTTACACAATTACATATATATATGTATATTCAATGTCTGTACATATAGAGTAGGGAAAGGGCCACCTAAGTTGGATAACTTTTGCCCAATCCCGTTGACCATATATGTCAATAAATTATGTTTAAAAAAAACACAATTACGCCATTGTTGATGAGGCGGTACTGGAAGAATGCCATAGAATTGAACAATAATCTATCGGCAAAAACTACGAGTTGCAAGAGTATACAATAGTTCATATACGCAACTCAATGTAAAACCAAAAATACCAACAAAAAACTATTTAATCGCATAAACATAGGTACGCAATAAAAGAATTGTTGATGAAGCGGGACTGGAAGAAAGCCGTAGATTTGATATTGATCTATCGGCAACCATATTTTTAACGAGTTGAAAAAGTATACAATAATTTTAGTATACGCAACTCACTGTTACGCCAAAGCTAGTAATATTTAAGAACATAAGAATATGTTATACATACGTAGCTGAGAATTGTAAACAATATGACTACCTTGGCAGGCAAACGATTGTAACACAATTCAAAATGGCGGCGAACAACAATATTTTGGCGGGAAAAAAGACAAGCGTCTTTTCACGCCTAATTAATTCACATAAAACTACACAACATGGTGAAAGTAATATGAAAAGAATACATCACCCATCGCAGATCAATTTTTAAGATTGTAGACAAACTGAAGGTCTAAAATTAATCCAAAAGGAGAGCTCCGCTTGGACACATCCTAGCTGTGCTGCGACAAGCAGTGATGTGAAGATGACCTTAGGTGTCATCAAGGTCACAGGACAGCGACGGAAGGCCACTGATTGGGACTTGAGAACAACAACTTTATTTCTTCACCCAGGACCTTCGCAGCGCTGTCCTTCTAGTTGTCGTAAGTAAGCAGTGAATGCATTAAGGAGTAATGCAGGATAAGTAAAAAATTAACTTTTATTAAAGAAATAAGTTATGTTAACCCCCAAAACATACAAGAACAGTGGAAACGTAAAACACAACGTGCATACGCGAACCCCGCAAGTATATAGAAAAAAGGGCGGGAAAATTATAACCAAGCGTAGCTACCGCAACGCCCCATAAAAGCACAGTTTATTAGAGAGTAAACTATAATAAATATCACCAAATCTTCAAGGAACGCTTCAGCAGGAGGAACACACGTCTTGCTACGCAGACGGAGACAAGAGTGAAGGGTGTCACATGGCAGCTAGGTGGCTATGCACGTGCTGCATGAGGTAATTGAGATCTCTGTGATAGATTTCGCTATAGCAGCAGTTGTGGGAGACAACAGCCTCGGTATAACAGTGGTAACGTATTACTTAATGTAATTACATTAATATGGCTGTAACTCATGTGATGAATTTGTAGAGGTGACTTATGTTTCACTGATTATTATATCTTTTTGTTTTGTTTGTTGTTTAACACTGCACTCAACAATATTCAAGTGATATGACGGCAGTCTGTAACTAATCTGCTTATCAAGTTTGGACCAGACAATCCAGTGATGGACATCATGAGCATCGATGCAAGTAATTCGGATACAATGACATGCCTCAACCAAGTCAGCGAGCCCGACAACCCGATCCGGTTAGTCGCCTCCTACGACAAGCATAGTCGCATTTCACAGCAAGCATGGGTTGCTGAAGACCTATTCTATACTCCGGATCATCACTGATTAGATGACTAATAAATAGGAAGAGGCTTTTAAACGTAAATTGTACATTAATGTATTGAACATATAACACTTTCGGGGCAGGCGTTCTATCCACTAGACCACTGAAGCTTGAATCCCAAAAGTTATGATTGTTGACTGATCATTATAAGTTTTTCAACCTACACTGCTGTATTTCTCCTGGAGAGCTTGATTCAACTTCTTGAGATGGCCTGCATCCAGCTGACCCCTCGTGGCAAGGTCAAGGTCGTCTTTGAGCTGGTGGATCTGGGACTGCAGACGTCCATTCTCATATGCCAGCTTGTTCTTCTGCTCCATCATTTCCTTCAGTGTTGAGTGGACTTTCTTGTGGCTCATCTACAAGAAAAGAATGTCAATGTTGGCAGGTCATAAAGGGTCGGGACGCCAACGTTTATAGGTGATTTTAAATCATTCACAAGTGTATGTCACACCTTTCGTTCCTGCATGATTTAATTCTGAAACCAAAACAACAGAGCTCCACACAGCCAGGCTGACCTCCCAAGCACTGTGCAGAATAAACTGACTTCAGCCATGTTTAGAAGCAAACTGACAATTGTGTTTTTCATGCGGAGGAGTCTCATCTTCTACTGAGCCTACTTCTCCGTGTGGTCACAGGAGCAGAAACTTCTCTCCAGCAGGGCAGAGTAAGCCTGGAGGTAACAGGTTTCTGTTTGCAATGTTTTAGAACATAGGACGTCCTGATGTTTGTAACCAAAAGTGAGTGAGTAAAGTTTGATGCTGGTTTTAGCAATATTCCAACCCTATCAGGCCAGGATTCACTTGTATCAAGCCAGCCTCTCCAGGAGGTCTGCCTTCTCTCTCTCTCTCCACCTATCTGTCCGACTCAACTGTTGCTGCTCGTATCCAGCCAGCCTCTCCAGGAGGTCGGCCTTCTCTCTCTCCACCTATCTGTCCGACTCACCTGTTGCTGCTCGTATCCAGCCAGCCTCTCCAGGAGGTCTGCCTTCTCTCTCTCCACCTATCTGTCCGACTCACCTGTTGCTGCTCGTATCCAGACAGCCTCTCCAGGAGGTCGGCCTTCTCTCTCTCCACCTATCTGTCCGACTCACCTGTTGCTGCTCGTATCCAGCCAGCCTCTCCAGGAGGTCGGCCTTCTCTCTCTCCACCTATCTGTCCGACTCACCTGTTGCTGCTCGTATCCAGCCAGCCTCTCCAGGAGGTCGGCCTTCTCTCTCTCCACCTATCTGTCCGACTCACCTGTTGCTGCTCGTATCCAGCCAGCCTCTCCAGGTCGGCCTTCTCTCTCTCCACCTATCTGTCCGACTCAACTGTTGCTGCTCGTATCCAGCCAGCCTCTCCAGGAGGTCGGCCTTCTCTCTCTCTCCACCTATCTGTCCGACTCAACTGTTGCTGCTCGTATCCAGCCAGCCTCTCCAGGAGGTCGGCCTTCTCTCTCTCTCCACCTATCTGTCCGACTCAACTGTTGCTGCTCGTATCCAGCCAGCCTCTCCAGGAGGTCGGCCTTCTCTCTCTCTCCACCTATCTGTCCGACTCAACTGTTGCTGCTCGTATCCAGCCAGCCTCTCCAGGAGGTCGGCCTTCTCTCTCTCCACCTATCTGTCCGACTCACCTGTTGCTGCTCGTATCCAGCCAGCCTCTCCAGGAGGTCGGCCTTCTCTCTCTCTCCACCTATCTGTCCGACTCACCTGTTGCTGCTCGTATCCAGCCAGCCTCTCCAGGTCTGCCTTCTCTCTCTCCACCTATCTGTCCGACTCACCTGTTGCTGCTCGTATCCAGCCAGCCTCTCCAGAAGGTCGGCCTTCTCTCTCTCTCCACCTATCTGTCCGACTCAACTGTTGCTGCTCGTATCCAGCCAGCCTCTCCAGGAGGTCGGCCTTCTCTCTCTCTCCACCTATCTGTCCGACTCAACTGTTGCTGCTCGTATCCAGCTAGCAACTCCAGGAGGTCGGCCTTCTCTCTCTCTCCACCTATCTGTCCGACTCAACTGTTGCTGCTCGTATCCAGCCAGCCTCTCCAGGAGGTTGGCCTTCTCTCTCTCTCCACCTATCTGTCCGACTCAACTGTTGCTGCTCGTATCCAGCCAGCCTCTCCAGGAGGTCGGCCTTCTCTCTCTCTCCACCTATCTGTCCGACTCACCTGTTGCTGCTCGTATCCAGCAAGCCTCTCCAGGAGGTTGGCCTTCTCTCTCTCTCCACCTATCTGTCCGACTCAACTGTTGCTGCTCGTATCCAGCCAGCCTCTCCAGGAGGTCGGCCTTCTCTCTCTCTCCACCTATCTGTCCGACTCAACTGTTGCTGCTCGTATCCAGCCAGCCTCTCCAGGAGGTCGGCCTTCTCTCTCTCTCCACCTATCTGTCCGACTCACCTGTTGCTGCTCGTATCCAGCCAGCCTCTCCAGGAGGTCGGCCTTCTCTCTCTCCACCTATCTGTCCGACTCAACTGTTGCTGCTCGTATCCAGCCAGCCTCTCCAGGTCTGCCTTCTCTCTCTCCACCTATCTGTCCGACTCACCTGTTGCTGCTCGTATCCAGCCAGCCTCTCCAGAAGGTCGGCCTTCTCTCTCTCTCCACCTATCTGTCCGACTCAACTGTTGCTGCTCGTATCCAGCCAGCCTCTCCAGGAGGTCGGCCTTCTCTCTCTCCACCTATCTGTCCGACTCACCTGTTGCTGCTCGTATCCAGCCAGCCTCTCCAGGAGGTCGGCCTTCTCTCTCTCCACCTATCTGTCCGACTCACCTGTTGCTGCTCGTATCCAGCCAGCCTCTCCAGGAGGTCGGCCTTCTCTCTCTCCACCTATCTGTCCGACTCACCTGTTGCTGCTCGTATCCAGCCAGTCTCTCCAGGAGGTCGGCCTTCTCTCTCTCCACCTATCTGTCCGACTCAACTGTTGCTGCTCGTATCCAGCCAGTCTCTCCAGAAGGTCGGCCTTCTCTCTCTCTCCACCTATCTGTCCGACTCAACTGTTGCTGCTCGTATCCAGCCAGCCTCTCCAGGAGGTCGGCCTTCTCTCTCTCTCCACCTATCTGTCCGACTCACCTGTTGCTGCTCGTATCCAGCCAGCCTCTCCAGGAGGTCGGCCTTCTCTCTCTCTCCACCTATCTGTCCGACTCAACTGTTGCTGCTCGTATCCAGCCAGCCTCTCCAGGAGGTCGGCCTTCTCTCTCTCTCCACCTATCTGTCCGACTTACCTGTTGCTGCTCGTATCCAGCCAGCCTCTCCAGAAGGTCGGCCTTCTCTCTCTCCACTATCTGTCCGACTCACCTGTTGCTGCTCGTATCCAGCCAGTCTCTCCAGGAGGTCTGCCTTCTCTCTCTCCAGCTGTCTCTGAGTCCCATACAGTGTGTCCAGCTCCACTTTGGTCTCCTCCAGGTCCGTCTGTAGCACCACCCTCTCCTCCATCAACGTGTCCACAGTCTGGTTCACCTACAACACAGTCCACAGACATTACCCTGGAGCCAGCAACAGGCTTGGTGGGTGGGTCCAGCTTCAACTGTCTGGATAAACTGTCCACACACTTGAGATACTGAGGCCATTCGAGAATGTGTCTACAAACAAGGTGAGGTGAAATGAGGTGCGTGTGTTTGTACTAGTCTGAACTGTTTTATAGTCCGATTTTATAGTGCTAGCCCACTGAGATACAGTTTAACATGAATACGGGGCAGTCGGGTAGCCTCGAGGTTAAAGCGTTCACTCATCATGCCGAAGACCCGGGTTTAATTCCCGACATGGGTGCAATGTGTGAAGCCCATTTCTGGTGTCCCCCGACGTGATCTAGATGGAATATTGCTATAAGCGGTGTAAAACCATACTCGCTCACTCACTTAACATGAATACCCCACTCAGACACAGTATACTGACTCCAAGCCGACCAGTCCTATTTTTAACCCCTTAATACCAAGAGCAAGACTGTCTGTTTGCAAACGAGAACATGTGACGCATTAACTTGTGGCAGCGGTGTAAAGTCATGGCTGTGTTGTGTGTACTGACCTCCTCCAGCAGGTTCTCCTTGTCCCGGAGGATGTTCTGCTTCTCGTCCTGCATGCTGTGCAGCTGGGTCCTCAGGGAGTTCAGCTCCCTCTCCAGACACTCTGCCGCCTGCGAGAACTCTACGTCCTTCTTCATCATCTCGCCCTTTGTGGAACTCATTTCCTTCTCCAGCAACTCTCTGATCAACACAGCAATAAAACAGTGAGTGATTGAGTTAGGTCTAACCCCGCTTCCAACAGTATTTCAGTGACATCATGGGGTATTAGCTTGATTCGGGAGGAAAGCCTGAAGTGATGGAGGTCACTCTGCACAGCAAATTGCTATGGATTAGATGACTGGGCCAAATATTAGATGTCGGTTGACCATCTGGAAGACAATGCCAACATAATGCTGTCTTGTTTGGATGTGGCTAGACTGCCAATTCTTTCCGCACATACCTGAAGGCAGTGGGGGGCAGTGGTAGGATACTTTCAACTTTCAAGTTTGATTTATCCGTACCACAACATTTACTGGAACTCAATTTCAACGAAAAACCATGCTCTTACATTTTTTTCTTCATGTCTTCATTTTCAGCATGAGTGTTCCGGGCGCGACTGCGGAGTCTCACGGCCTCCTCCTCCAGGGCCACACGCTCTTCAACGTGGGTCTTCTCCACCTGTAACGACATCGTCATTATTACCACGTTCAAAAATAATATTCCGATAAAAATAAAGACCTGACACCACAGAATGTCTTGCTCAAATGGTTCAAAAGTTGAATTATCAGCTCCTTGGGGAGTATACAGCTGATTTGCTCATGCTGCTTTTTGATGCAAGGACATTTGCATTCACACTGCCATCTAACCACAGTTTAACATGGATACCCTCCTCAGACACAGCATACTGACTCCGAGTCCTTGTTTCATCCCCTTAATGCCAAACGCCAGGGTAACAAGTACCATCTAATAATATCTTTTTTTGTTCATTGTTTGTTGGTTAACAAAGTACTTAGCAACATTCCAGCTATATGATGGCGGTCTGTAAATAATCAAGTCTAGACCAGACCATCCAGTGATTGACATCATGAGCATCGATCCACGCAATTGGGATATGATGACATACATCAACCAAGTCAGCGAGTCTGACCACCCAATCCCGTTAGTCGATTCTTATGACAAGCATAGTCACCTTTCATGGCAAGCATGGGTTGCTGAAGACCTATTCTACCCCGGATCTTCACGGGTATCATTGGGTATGACGTGTCCGGGGATCAAACCACTGGGCAGAAACCACATTAGGGGTCTCAAATACTTGGAATATTTCAAGACTGTTTTCAGCACTTGGTTGGAACCAACATAAGTCTGCATGTAAAATGCAGGAAGGACTCAGCTCAGATATACTTGATACGCAAAAGTCAAAGTGTGTGCGTTAGTATGGTATTACGCAGTTCACACATTGTACGTGTTTGGGGATCCCAACCCGGTTTTTCAGCGTAACAAGTAACGCCACTTCCTTAACCACAAGGCTACCCCCCTGGCCATGATCCTCCTGACATTTGTTCTGTATTTCAGTCCAGCAATCAGTGATTTTACCTGCACTTCCCTCTTGTGTATCGTCCTGAGACGCTCCAGTTCACTGGACGTGGTGTCCAGCTGGCTGCCCAGTCTCTGGTTGTCACACTCCAGTTCCTGACATCTCATCTACAACACACAGCAAACACTGAGAACATGTCATTCAGGCTGCCCGGACTTGGCATTGCTCTTATCATTGCTTGTCTGGTTCACAGACCTGTCATATAACATGACAAGGGCTTCAAGGGCATGACACTGTCAGTCCTGTCATACACTGTTACCAACCAGTCCTTTTATTAGTTGACTCTCATATCAAACATGCAGTTCTGGGGACCTATTCTGCCCTGGAATCCCAATGAAGAATCAATCATGGGGTACTGGGGACCTACTCTGCCCTGGAATCCCAATGAAGAGTCAATCATGGGGAACTGGGGACCTACTCGGCCCTGGAATCCCAATGAAGAGTCAATCATGGGGTACTGGGGACCTACTATGCCCTGGAATCCCAATGAAGAGTCAATCATGGGGTACTGGGGACCTACTCTGCCCTGGAATCCCAATGAAGAGTCAATCATTGGGTACTGGGGACCTACTCTGCCCTGGAATTCCAATGAAGAGTCAATCATGGGGTACTGGGGACCTACTCTGCCCTGGAATCCCAATAAAGAGTCAATCATGGGGTACTGGGGACCTACTCTGCCCTGGAATCCCAATGAAGAGTCAATCATGGGGTACTGGGGACCTACTCTGCCCTGGAATTCCAATGAAGAGTCAATCATGGGGTACTGGGTACCTACTCTGCCCTGGAATCCCAATGAAGAGTCAATCATGGGGTACTTGGGACCTACTCTGCCCTGGAATCCCAATGAAGAATCAATCATGGGGTACTGGTGACCTACTCTGCCCTGGAATCCCAATGAAGAATCAATCATGGGGTACTGGTGACCTACTCTGCCCTGGAATCCCAATGAAGAATCAATCATGGGCTACTGGGGACCTACTCTGTCCTGGATTCTCAATGAAGAATCAATCACAGGCTACTGGGGACTTACTGTCCTGGAATCCCAAAGAAGAATCAATCATTGGCTACTGGGGACCTATTCTGCCATGAAATCTCAATGAAGAATTAATCATGGGCTACTGGGGACGTATTCTACCTTGGAATCCCAATGAAGAATCAATCACAGGCTACTGGGGACCTACTGTCCTGGAATCCCAATGAAGAATCAATCATGGGGTCTTGGTGACCTACTCTGTCCTGGAATCCCAAAGAAGAGTCAATCATGAGGTAGTGGGGATCTACTTTGCCCTGGAATCCCAATGAAGAGTCAATCATGGGGTACTGGGGACCTACTCTGCCCTGGAATCCCAATGAAGAATCAATCTACTGGGGTTTGATCTGATTTTAATGAGATTGGGAATGCCTGAACCAAATATTCTCAACTCAGTTTTTCTGAAAGTTGTTTTCACCTTATTCTGGTCAATGAGTGTCTGTGTCTTCTCCACCTGGGAGATGAGTTCCTGGTACTGGCTCTGGAAGCGGCTCAACTCTGTAGCAGCCACCTGCCTCTCAGCCTCCGCTGTGTCGTATTGGTACTGCAGCTTCTCTGTGGATCCAAACATCGACAACACTACCAGCTATTTCTAGTCCTCAAGCTGTTCAGAATGTGCTCTTAAAGTTGTCAATAATCTGAGTGGGTGAGTGTCGCTTATCACTGCAGTCAGCAATATTCCAGCCAAATCACAGCCTCCAGTAAATAAGCCATGTCAGACAAACCAGTGATTGATAAGAGTGACGTCCTATGCTGCAAGTGAAGCAGTCCCCAAGGGACGTCAAGGTTGTCATTTGAGTTGATCAGTGCCCAGATGACACCAGTACGGCTGCAACCATGGAAACAGACGATCACTGCCCAGACAACATGGATACTCTCAAACTTCTACATGCACACTAACAAATATTTGAGAAAAGTCACACATACTGAGCAATATACCAGCCATATCACAGCATCCAGTAAATAAGTCTTGTCAGACAAACCAGTGATTGATATAATGAGCAATGTCCATGCTGCAAGTGAAGCATTACTGTAAACTGTCCCCAAGGGACATAAGATGGACATTTATGTTGAGCATACCTCTCAGGTGGGTGAGTTCGCTGCATCTCTCATCAAGCTGCCCTCGCATCTTCTGCTCCTTGCCGAGTTCATCAGACAATCTCATAACCTCCGTCTTCAGACTCTTGCATGTGGTGGTCAAGTTATAAACCTGTAAATGCATTGTGCATATTTTACAGTGAGTGAGTGAGTTGGGTTTAACGTGGCTTTTAATATTATTACAGTTATATCACAGCGTGTCAGATTAACGTGGGAGGAAAGCCCGAAGTGATGCAGGTCTTAGGTGCAGGTTATGGTGCAGACAAACCTTTAAACATAATCGGGGCGAACAGGGATTCGAACCCACAATCATAGGTTTCTGGCGTGCCAAAGGGACGCAACTCCGCACAGCAAATCACAGCGCCTTAGATGACAAGGCCACCCGTGCCCCGCATATTTCCCAGAAACCCATCTGACAACTGAAGGGACTGCAGTATCACTGCAATACCAGTAGCTGAGAGTTTAAGCTAGATGTTTATCTCCATCTCCCAGGAGCCAATATTCTGTAGTCTGGGGCAAATGTCAATGCAAATCCTAAATTGGAATTAAAACATTCCCAGTTCATCATGTTAACGTTAATGTACATAATATAGTCATAACTTCTTTAATGCTCAGTTTTACATTACTGTGTTGAATGCAATGTTAAACAAGGAAAAACTATGTGTGTGTGTGTGTGTGTTTGTGTATCTCTGTGTGTCTCAGACTGTGTAAGTGAGTGAGTAAGTATCATCTCCAGACTCGCCATGAGACTAGGCTACCATTAAGAACACACCCGACAACACTCCCTTACCTCTGTCCTCTCAGATTCTACGACTGTTTCCATCTCTTGTATCATCTCCAGACTCGCCATGAGACTAGGCTACCATTAAGAACACACCCCACAACACTCCCTTACCTCTGTCCTCTCAGATTCTACAACTGTTTCCATCTCTTGTATCATCTCCAGACTTGCCATGAGACTAGGCTACCATTAAGAACACACCCCACAACACTCCCTTACCTCTGTCCTCTCAGATTCTACAACTGTTTCCATCTCTTGTATCATCTCCAGACTTGCCATGAGACTAGGCTACCATTAAGAACACACCCCACAACACTCCCTTACCTCTGTCCTCTCAGATTCTACGACTGTTTCCATCTCTTGTATCATCTCCAGACTCGCCATGAGACTAGGCTACTATTAAGAACACACCCCACAACACTCCCTTACCTCTGTCCTCTCAGATTCTACGACTGTTTCCATCTCTTGTATCATCTCCAGACTTGCCATGAGACTAGGCTACCATTAAGAACACACCCCACAACACTCCCTTACCTCTGTCCTCTCAGATTCTACGACTGTTTCCATCTCCCGGATCCTCCCAAGGAGAGTGTTGTGGGAGTCCTCCAGACTTGACCTGAGACTAGACTCCATGCTGAGTTCCTCTTTCATCTCCGCAACACGTCGGATCAGTTTCTGTTTTGATGATGCAATCTCCTCCGCCGTCACAGAAGCTTCTGCCTGTCAACCAAACCAGCATGACTGTTACCATGGTAACACAGAAAAGCGCACATGCAAGAATCGTGATATGCATCGGATCGTGAGCAAGGTATCGTGATACGTATCATACCGCATAGTTGGTGTATCGTTCCAGGCCTATTACTAAAGCACTTTCGTACAGCTGATTGCTATAGTTGGATATATTTTTCTGTTTTGGAGTAGAGCTGTGTATCGTCTGGTATCTTGTGACATGATTCGTATCACAATACAGACTCGCGATACTACTGGTGTCACTATACACATCAAATACTATGAAAAGATGAAATCACTGAAATTTCCTCTTCCCCATACATTTATTTATTGTTACCTGAAAAATGTTTACATAGAAAACTACAAGAATAAAACAGGTTTAAATGAAGGGCTGGTTATCAAATGTAACAGTTAGTCAGTGCCTCCTCGGGTACACGTCCTTGTATTCTGCCATGCTTACAGGTGGCGCTATGCTACTTCTGCCATTACGGGATGTAACGCTATTAGTTCCTGTCCTATTTATAGAGTATTGCGATCTCACAAACTGATGATTCAAGTATTGTGTGTACATATGTATCAATGATATCGTAGGTATCGGTGAATCGTTACAGCCCCAGTATGGAGACTCCCCACAGTCTAGCCATTTCAAATATAAAAACATTATGTTGACATATGATAGTCAAACTACACCGTAGTCAATGTAAGGTATTGATGATATATGTATCAATTTTCCGTCACCTTCAAGGTGCCAAAAGGTAATAATCGGATAGTGTAACAAATGTAATATTTGAGAAAACACGTTCTTAGTAAAGTACAGATTGAAAGAATTATAGAGAATGGTATTAACCAAGTCAAAATGTAACATGTCGAGAAAAGTGTACATACCCTGGCAGTGGTTGCCTCATCCAGAGACTTCTGCAGCTTCTTCACCTCATCCTTGAGTCTCGTCCTCGTCTCACACTCCGAGGTCAGTTCATCCTGCAGCCCACGAACCTCCCGTTTGAGATACGACAACTGACTTTCATAGGTCTGTTTGGCTGCTGACCATTTTTCTTCCACCTGGGCGTATATCTTCTTCTTCAAGTCCTTATCACCTTGGATGTTGAGCAGGGACAGCTTTAGTGTCTGTATTGCACTCTCTGTCCGGCACACCCTGGACACCAGCGCTTCATAATTTGTATGTAAAAGTTCAGCATCGGCTAACCTAGCTTTGAATGGCTCCATGGGCCCTTCATCCTCGTTACGAGCATCAGCGGACACTTCCCGGCTGAAGCCCATCTCGTTGAGACGGTGGATGAGGTCACGTGTGTCATATTCTGCAGCTTGGAGTCGGTGCTCCAGGACCTCAATAGTCTGTCCCGAGGGGGATGCCGGGGCGAATGGGGGGATGACAGGCTTCGACATGCCTGCTACTCTGTCTCCTCACTTCACCATCATCACAGTGTAATAATTGCTGGATGTCCTCGCTCTGTCATCTCTACCTGAAACTGATCCATTGCTAGACTGCAACAGTCGCCTTTTATTCTAATGAAATGTAAGTAGTGTCTCACATCACCTCAAACAAAGAACAATAGATTATAAGTATAATTTGAAATATTGATAAAAAATGTTATCAAACACAGTCTGTTTCCATAATTATGTTTACATGCATTCAAAACACACAAGCTACAAGGAAAATAATCTATCTTGGATTTTGTTAAATATTACTTTTCAACTTCCAGTGTAATCAACCTCTACACTCACAAAAGTATCACATCCTATCAAATCAGCAGTAGAAACCAAACTAACCTGCGTAAGTCAACTATCTCGATCCCATGGCCCCTGTACAGGTCTGTTCAGATGGTAAACTATTTATTCATATGAAAATTGCAGAAAGTATGTGAAAATCAAGTAATCTAACTGCTTAACACCCCATGCCTCGGCTGTTCCACTGTATATCCCTGTCCTGTTTACCCCTGTGCCTGTCACATTCCATTAGAAAAGGTCAATTTTGACCAGACTGTAGATCTTTTAACGAAATACAATATGTTTATGATGTAAACTCAGCGAAAGAAACTAACAGTTTTAGTTCACTAGTCCTTATAAAATAATGATGACAAATAGTAAAACCCTTCAAAAGCGCAAATTTCTACTCGTACTCATGATACCTTAACTATTGGGCAGTTTGGCAAGGACTACAGGACTAGTGCCAATTTCTAATGCTGAAACTTAGTTCCTCATATACTGCTAGGAACCAGATTTGTTTATTTACCATGTTTACAGTTATATGAAACTGCCTTGTGACAAGCTTGGCAGTGGTGGAGGAACTCTGGAATGTCAGCTCACCACACCTTACTAACCTGCTGACAGTTTTATTGAAACACTAGATCCTTCTAGATAGGGACACTTTTTGTGAATTGCACATGTGTTGTTACTGAAGAGGGATCAAAATGCCTTTTTGGTCAAGTGTGGCATAGGGCACTCATGGTTATAACATGCATACATAAGTTTAGATGTACCCTTTTAGAATTTAAATCGACCAACAAGAGGAATACTTCTGATCAATTAAAAATGTGTTGCAATCGATATTGTGTTACCATGGTTACTGTCATACACTGGTCAGAATCAGGGATAGAAATTCACCTGGAAAGTCTACTTGACTGAATAGTGATAACATATAGAAACATCCCCAAAATGTTCAAAAGACTACCAGCCCTTAGAATACCCTTAACATTGGCGAAACTGGCTTGGGTCAACGGGCTAGTGCTAGTTTCCATCCCTGCAGTATACACATGCTATTAGGTAACTTGGAAGTACAAGTCAATCGACCCTAACCATTTCCTTGGCCGATAAGCTGGGCTCCATATTTACTAGCAAGATATTATGTAAACAGGTAAATGACACTTTGAAAGTTTGCCCTTTTTGTTGTTGTTGAGATTGATAAAACCAGTTACAGAATCTCTCGAGTGATTTTATGAATAATACTGTGCATTGAAGAACATATGTTCATTTTCCATATGTTCCATGTTTGTGCAAAATTTACTTTATTACATATTTTATATAATCAACATGACAAACATTGGCACAATGTATTCTTAACTAAATTTGATGTTTGAATTCTAAGTGTCCCCTCAGCATGCTCAGGGTCGGCATTTTACTCATGTTATTAACCCTGCCATTGGCACTCAAATACAAATGATACTGAACCCTGTGAAGTCAGTCATCTGTTAGCATGCTGAGGCGAGTTGACATTGTCATGTGTGCAGTGTTTTAGACGACTCAGAAATGGGTGTCCAGTACACACAAATGTATAGAATGAACGCATACAAAAACAATAATATTCATTTATCAACTTCTGGACAAGAAACAAATGTTCTGTTACTAAAATAATTTTCAAATTTGATTAATGTAACGGTACAGTACACTACATCATTTCATTACAGGGATATGAGTGACTCTCATATTTCCTGTAAAGGACCCTTGAGATTTATTATATTTTGCAAGAGAAGACAAATCCCTTGAGGTTATTTTGATCTGAGTTTATAACATGTGCAATTTGTTTCATTGTCTTAGTATAGAGATCAGCCAATCAAAAATGGTTAAAATTTGAGCCAAGAGGAGTAAAACAATTTGGTAACTTTTTGCTGTTTAAATTTTCGGAAAAATAATTTGCACATTCTATTATTACTAAACATCCAAACAAACTGTTAAAAAGCAAACAGGGCTGTCATTAAAGTATTCACATAATCATAAACTATGATTTATAATCTGACAACAACCCTGAAGGCCTATTCCATGACAGAAAGTCTGACAGACACACAAAAACACACACAACTTTACGGCCAAAATGACACTTAATTCACACCTCATACCTTGCTAACTTGCTTGTGCCTACTTGTCTTACTTGTTTTCACAAACTGAACTTTCATGCAAAATATTGCATTGTGTTCCTACTGATATGTAGTCGAAGCTACTCCAATGGTCATCCAAATTCCAACGGTAGTCTACCCAGTATAAGTTAAGTATGTGGTCGGTGTGTATAAGAACCTGCTAAATGTCTGTTTTGTTAACTAAATGCGATTGTGATAGAGATTTACGCTCGGCGTGTAGTCGTCTAAGTGATCTACGGGCAGGCATTCTTGAAACGCCGCCATGCGTGATAATTTACGGATAATATTTCTGACAGCTTGGAGTGTTGAACTGTTGCTGTACATGTGAATGTTTTGACGCGGCAACACTTTTGCCATTCTGATAAGCACGCATGGTGCAAAGTCATTAGTTTAAAACTATGGATACCTACAACAGGCCATTATCTATGAATGAGACAACATTAATCACTTTGTGTACTCACAGCTAAGTAGGTTTATTCCTTCATATCATATCCTGCTTGGAAACAACTCAAACCTGCCTCTACTTGTCGCCATGATTGTAAACTAATGATTTCATTGGTCAATTCCTCACACCAATCGGAGTTTCACATCTGACACAACGTTCAACATAAATTGAGTGGGAGCCGGAACGGCCCGAGCTATTCCGTATGTCAAAACGCTCTTCTGTATAAGGAGATACATAAGTAGTCATAAAGTACTTTCCTATCGGCTAACTCTAAAAGCGAAATCCCCATATGGATTTCATTTTTTAAACCTATGGTATATACAATGTAAAAGGGTTATAGCTGAAACGACCCCGTGAAAAACGCTATCAGACGAAAACAGTCCAACGAAAACGCCACTCGACACGAATGACAAAAACAAACCCTTATTTCTCTCTACTATTGATTCAGAATTTTAAATGATAAATATTTAATCGATTTATTACTGTAACAAATACGTCTGTAACTTATGTTAATCATACACACAGATGATATACATATAACGTAAAACAAGCAAGTTCCTTTAGAACCCGCTGACGTAAAATCAAACTCACACACTCTCTCTTCGAATAGGTTCATGCTTGAGCAACATTAAGGAGGGAGGGATTAATACAAATTCATTTTTGAAAATTCCTTTTAATTCAGACTAAATTTTCCATCGTTTGTATGTTACATAACGTCTAAATCCTATGGTCGTTGAGGCGGGATTAGGCTAAAAAGACATCAAAACAGAGAAATGTAATTACAAAATTTATTATATACAATGAAATGTCATAACAAGAAGCAATACTTAGCAATATTTGTAAAAAAGAAAGTTGTAGATGCACTCAACTCGACTTCGCCATCACAACTGTTGACAGTATCTGACACTGCACGTGCCCATAGAATTGGTAAACCTGTTCAGGTAAAATCAAGACCTCTCATCGCTAAGGTTAAAGATTTAGACCAGAAGATATCGGTATTGAAAAATAGATCTGAACTTGCTAAAACAAAACAAATGATCTAACCTTACGTCAGCGGGAAACATTACGGGCCCTACGTGCTGATAACAAGCGAGGTTTATTCAAAGGTGACAAACTGATGTTGGAAGATGTGTCACCAGCTGCGAAGGCGACAGAAAATAGACAATCACCATCGCCTACAGAGACCTCTAGGGATCGGAACCAAGACCGTGTACTACGCCCTGGAGCCTAGTCGAACTCTGCTCATGGGTTAAGGAGATAGGGGTGTGGCGAATGCTTTACCCAACACCTGTAGATTTCTCTCCTTCAAAATAAACTTAAGGATAGTGACTTTTGTTCTTTCATATACAACCATGAGGTCATCTCGATATATAAAACATGGACGTCAGAAATCGGTTTCATTAGCATCCACTTTCCTGACTATAAGATCATTTCTCTACCAGCAAATAAGTTATCTCAGTATGGTCGATATTCTGGGGGAATAATAGTGTTAGTTAAAGCTCAATTAGCGAAGTACATTCTTGATGTTAAGGTTGGGGATAACGCAGTTACCGTGTTGTTTGACGAGGACATATTAAGTTGTGACTTAAAAGTCTTATGTGTTTTTAGTTACATTCAGCCAGAAGGCTCGTCATGGTATGATGACAAAGACAGTCGCAATGGTGTAGAATTACTTTTGAACTTATTACTTAGTGTGTTGGAAAAGTATCCAGATGTCTCAATTTTATTGTTCGGGGATTTGAACAGCAGAACTGGCACAGAACAAGACTACGTTGGAGATGATATCATTCTCCTTGTAGGGGATGAACATTATACCAACCTTTTAACCAAGTTCGATATACCACGAATATCTAGCGACCAGAAGGTGAATACGTTAGGTAGATCTCTCCTGGAAATGTGCTCACTTCTGGACATCCATATTATCAATGGAAGGGTTGGGGCAGACTCCGGCGACTTCACTTTCATAGGACATTTGGGATGCAGCGTCATAGACTATGCGTTAGCTTCAACAGATATATTTCAACATATCGCAGACTTCGACATTATGTCCCGCTCAGAAAGTGATCATTTACCAATCCGTGTGAGCATTCGTCATAAGGGAGATGCGTTCGAACCTGAGGATAGTCAGGTACACTATAAGTACATATGGACTGATAAACTTCGTGAGACATTCATGATGAATATGTCATCACCATGTATCACTGAAATGCAAGGACGTGCAGCTTAAGTTCACTCTCAGATGCATCTACTGCAGTGACTTTACTGACAGATGCTATTCTGTCTGCCCCTTGTGTGTTCAAAAGGGAGAATAGACTTCAAAGGCATAGTGACTCCCCATGGTATGACAACGAATGTCTTACTAAAAAACACGAACGCTGTCATGCACTAAACACTTTTCGGGTTCCTCAAAGCACTGAACATCTAGCCAAGTACAACCAGGTACGCAATGAGTACAGGGCCTTGTGTAGGACAAAGGGGGACCAGGATCGACAGTGTAATAGAGTAGATCTGATAAACTCAACTGGTGACTCCAAACGTTTTTGGGACATTGTCAAACGTGTGTCCGGGCGTCAACATCATCACAATCCTATCTCCGCGGGAGAGTGGGCTGAATATTTCTCAACATTATACACAAATACTGATCCTCTTGAGAGTGACGATAAAAGTCCGTTCTTATGTGAATCTCATGAATTGACAGCAGACATTCTTGACTGCCCTATAACAAGATCAGAAATCACAGACAGTATTCGTGCCTTAAAGAACAATAAACAGTTGGAGTTGACCATATCATAAGCGAATACCCAACACACTCATCATATGTTTGTTTTTTCTCCTTACTTTGAGATTATATTCAATAGTATGTATGAAAATGGTGTTTTTCCTGAAAATTGGTCATTTGGAATTATCATCCCAGTACATAAGAAAGATGTCGCAACGTTTTCAGATAACTATCGAGCCATAAGCCTTCTGAGTGCCCTGAGAATCAATTGGGTAACTGAATTAAGGAATTGTCTTTGTATACTTGGGTTCGGCGATGTATGGAGGTATGGAATGGTGCTGACAAGCCTCGATACAGATTCTAGGAGAACCGAGATTCAAACCCAAGATCGTAAGTTTCTGACATGTCTAAAGGACGCAACTATGCACAGCGAATTCCGAAGATTTAGACACCTGTTGTCACATATTAGCAAATCTAGTGCTTCTCACTTTCCATATGTAACTTATATATTTATATATCCAAAATAGATTAAACAAAAATGATCTCACAAGGTCCTAGTATGTCATATTTAGGGCGAACCTTCAAGGTGTTTGTCCATATTGTCATGTATGACCCTTTCCCAGGTACAGCTGATAAAGTAGCCTATTAATTGTCATCATGAAGATTTCACACATATTTAGTTGTTTAGTAATATCTTACTCATGTCAATTAAGGAGTCAGAAAAGGGCCGCCCCAAAACCTGACAGTGGAAGGTCGTGAAACGTTTGGTTGATATTCAAGAAATAATGCTCCCAGAATGAATGACCCAGATACATGTACACGAAAATACTCCACTATCTGCTATGATTTCTGGATGTAACCTAACCTCCTGTATATCAGCAGTCGACACGGTGACGAGGCACTTTTAACAATACGTTCCGACAGATCCAAGTAGGACACTAAATCACAGGACTCCCTCTTCAAATGAAACTTGTGCTCACGGAAATAGCATATGTTTACAGCTGTACATAAACAAAATGGCTTGGCAAGGTGTTCTGAGGAGATGTATGGCCAAGAACGCATGCAGCAGACATGTATCATCTGATTCAATACGGAATGGATTGGCAGGCATGATGGGGCGAACGCCATTAGTCCGTCTGAATAAACTAAGCGACGAGACAGGCTGTGAGATTCTCGCAAAGGCAGAATTTTGTAACGGAGGTGGTTCAGTGAAAGACAGAGCTGCCTTTTTCCTGATCAAGGATGCCGAAGAAAAGGGGTTGTTGCGACCAGGGGGTACAGTGGTTGAAGGAACGGCTGGAAACACTGGGATCGGTCTGGCCCACATGTGCCTAGCTCTTGGATATAAGTGTGTCATCTACATGCCAAATAACCAGTCGCAAGAGAAAATTGAAACACTGAGAACTTTAGGTGCCGAAGTTCGAAGCGTGCCTGTCGTTGCCTGGACCGACCCAGACAACTATAACCACCAGGCTAGGAGGTTTGCTGAAGGTGTAGAAAACGCTGTCTGGACGAATCAGTTTGATAACACAGCCAATAAAAGGGCCCACATAGAAACTACAGGCCCTGAGATCTGGCAAGAGACAAAAGGCCGGGTGGACGCAGTTGTTTTCGGGACGGGGACGGGAGGGACATTGGCTGGGGTGTCCACCTTTCTGAAAGATAAGAATCACAAGATACAGTCCTATCTTGCAGATCCTCAAGGCAGCGTTCTTTACAACTGGATCAAGCATGGCAAGCTGGAGAGGACAGAGGGAAGTTCCATTACAGAAGGTATAGGTCAAGGTCGAGTAACGAAAAACCTCGAGGGTGCCCCAATTGATGATGCTTTTGCAATACTGGACACTGATGCTGTTGCTATGACATTCAGGTTACTTCACGAGGAAGGATTCTTTGTTGGGGCCTCGACAGGGTTAAATGTTGTTGGGGCTGTGAAAGCAGCTAAACTAATGGGTCCAGGGCACACCATTGTGACCTGCCTGTGTGACACTGGACATAAATACTACAACAAACTCTTTAGCCGGAAGGTTTTAGAAGAAAAGGGTCTGTTGGATTGCATCCCTGAACAGTACAGGACATCTTTGCATTAAATAAAATTGTGATGGAACAGTGTTTTACTGATGCTTTGATAACAGCAGTATTACTAACCATGCTAACAGGATGATAGGGCATGCTAATTGTTTATACAAGTATAATTAATATATTTCACCATATTAAATCTCAGGAAGAAAGTTATAAGATCTTTTCAGATATAACATTGTTTTTACATCCAAGACTAAGTGGTTTACTGTTTCAAGTGATTGAAATACACTTCATTAATTTCAAGTGGTCATATTCTTATGTCATTATACAGATTCATATTGCTTTTTGATAAAATAAAGCAAATGTTTTTTAGCAAGATTTCTAGATTATTTGCTTTGTAGCATTGGCATAATGTTGGCCAACTGTACACAGTCCAGTGGTGACTTGACGGCGGCATCATTCACTCCAGACAGTCTGAAGTGTGACCTCTGCATTAGTGTGAGTTTATATTAGGCTGGTGTAAATTCATGCATGGCTACAGTGGTGTGAGTTAAAACATAGCTGCCATTGTGAACTTATGACTGGACACACTGGCATGCAGTTGTCCAAGGTATTTTTAAGATGTAATTAACGGTAATTAGTAGATAATTCGCGTACCTTCACCTGACTACCATATTTCCCGTGTTTGTGGGGGCACGGGTGGCGTAGTCGTCTAAGGTGCCACGATTTGCTGTGCAGAGTTGCATCACTTGGGCACGCCAGAAACCTATGATTGTGGGTTTGAATCCCGGTTCTCCCCGATTATGTTTCTAGGTTTGTCACCTCTGAGCAGGTCTAGCTAAATTCTTGTTTTAGAGGAATGTAATACCAGTGGAATGTAATCATTCTTCTTGTAGAGGAATGTAATAATGCAAGTTGCAGTGGAATGTTATAATGCTGGTTGCAGTGGAATGTAATAATGTTGGTTGTTCTAGAATGTAAGAATTCTTGTTGCAGTGGAATGTAATAATGCTGGTTGCAGAGGAATGTAATAGTTCTTGTTGCAGAGGAATGTAATAATGCTGGATGCAGAGAAATGTAATAATGCTGTTTGCAGAGGAATGTAATAATGCTGGGCGCAGTGGAATGTAATAGTTCTTGTTGCAGAGGAATGTAAGCGAGTACATAATTTGCGTCTACTTGCATTAGCCTGGACTAATCCTGGTTATACAGTGCCAGCTCAGTGAGATACCATACCAGCTAACATGGATACCCAACTGAGTCCTTGTATTATCCCCTTAATACACAGCGCCAGTCTGGGTAGCACAAGCATCATCTTCTAACATCTTTTGGTATGACACGACAAGGGATTGAAATCCCTGACCTTTTGTTCTCTGGGCAGACGCTCTATCTATTAAATCACTGAGGCCACCTTCCGAAGCAAAGGAGTTCACTGACTATAGAAGTCCAGTTTCCACCCTTGCCGAACTAGGCTGGAATTCTGGAAATATTTTTTGGCTGAACTAACAAGTCTATGCATAGTCCAATCCAAATCGTAACGAACAAGACATCCGGTTTGTAAACAACATGGATTTCAACGTGCAGATTTCGGTTGACTGCAGCATTTGCAAAACATGTGTACCACCAACTGGGCATCATCAGATGTTTTGCAAATCTTTTCATGTTTTTAATCAAGACCCGTTTTATTACAATACATATCTTGATTATCGATCAGATTGACTTGTTTGAGGCAAATGCAAGTGATATGAGTGCTGAATCTGAATGGTCAATAGGAGGGACATACAAGGGACATAACTCATAATAGCCACTGGTGGCGCAACAATCGAGCCTGGAAAGTCTAGTTCGGCAATTGTTGAAACTGGACCATAATAGTCAGTTAACGCTCGCTCTTGCCTCAGGAAGATGCACTGAGGCGGTCTCTACTGAAGACATCATCTACAAGAGGCAAATACTTCACACAAATTGTTGTATAGAATTTATTCTAACTGTAACAAAACTCTGCACCAAAGAGCGCTCATGGTACTGACAGGTATCCATATTTCATTACCTCTGTAACCATGGTAACATCAGAAACGGATACCAACATATTGCTTAACTTGTTCAAACATTTCATATACACAGCAAATATGCTTATAACAAATGTAGAGATATACAACACATTTAAAATATACAGATCACACCTTCTTTTCATTCTGTTGGACAGCTTTTACCAGGTTGTGTGTTTGGGGGAGGAGTTACATCAAGTTTTGATTTTGACTATCGGGTTGTAGTTTGAAGTGTTGCTATGGAACAATGAAAGTTACATATCATGTTTGTTTGTTTGTTGTTTAACGCCGCACTCAACAATATTCCAGCTATATGACGGCAGTCTATAAATAATCAAGTCTTGACCGGACAATGCAGTGATTGACATCATGAGCATCGATCCACGCAATTGGGATACGATGACATGCATCAACCAAGTCAGCGAGCCTGACCACCTGATGCCATAAGTCGCCTCTTACGACAGGCATAGTCGCCTTTTACGGCTTGAATGTAGTGCCATGGCACTGTAGCTCACCTGGGTATGTAGTCAACAGTTGAACTGAACAAGATATTATGTCAGCATAAGTTTACATTACGGAGATGCAGTTTGGGAGAACTTAAGAGCATGTTATTGACCAAGTCAACATTTTAAATTTTGAGAAAATGGAACTATTGTGTTGAATCCCACAACTAACCAAACAAGCACCAAATTTCATTACATTTTGAACACAAATGGTAGAGTAATGGCTGCCCACTTAATAAAAGTTGCTGCAGAATTGATATTCAAATATTTTCTAATAAATATACAGGACTTATAACTTATTTCAGAGGAGAAGATGTTTGCTTATTTAGGAACTATGGTCAGAACATTAGGTCAAATCAATTTAAAAATTTAGGATACGACACACAAAAAATGGAACATATATGTTAGCACCACTACTAAAATTACTAAACATATGCAAATTTTCATTACATTTTAAATACAAAATGGCTTCGCAATGGCAATAAATAGGTTATGGCAACCATATTGAAACTCAAATTTAAACCTCTTGAACAAATTCAGGGGTTGTCACTGGCGGGAAAAAGCATGTGCAGTGTCAGCTTTATTGGCCCAGTGGCTTCTGAGAAGATGATGTTTACAGACCTCGGGGCACATTTTTTGAGAAATTAGACCATGGTCAGGTCAAAACAAATATATCTGGAACATGCAAATTCCCTCTACTAACAACACGTGCTAAATTTCCTTACATTTTTGAACGAAATTGGCTGAGTAATAGTTTTTTCAATATGGCTGTAATGGCGGCCATTTTGAAAATGAGATTCCAAGATCAAGAACAAATTTGAGTGTCATAATTCGTGGGAACAAACGTGAAGTTTCAGTGTAGTTGGTCCAGTGGTTTTCTGAGGACGAAGGACACACACAATAGACGCAAGACAAACAGCCTATGACATAAGCTCACTTGAAATTCAGTCAGGTGAGCTGAAAATATTCACCAATGTCACTGGCCGATCTCTACAGAGAATTTTTTCTGCATCATGATACATATTGTATCGTGACCTCACTCTTGTAATATGTATCGCCACTTGTATATCATCTCAGCTCCGTTAGCTATTCTGTTCCATAGAAGCTTACCTGTACCAATTACAATGCTGCCATTTAAGATAATGAAGATTATTTGATTCTGCATAGGATTCATTTAACACATATTTGACATAAAATCTTTTTGATGCAGTTACCTGGTTACATGATAGTTATTGCATCATCAAGTACTATACTATGCATACTTCATGAGATATCTTTCACATACACCACCACATAACAGGAATCACTGTATCACAATCTCAAGCGTCAACAATAATTGCATATCCAAATTAAACCCCTCCCCTGGTCCTTGGATGTCATCACTCCCTGATCATGATCATACAGGAATCACTTGTCATACCTAGACACGCCCTGATTTGCTGTGCAGTGCTATGTCACCTATGAATGTCAGAAACCATTAAGCCCGACCCATTATAATAGTCTTATAAATAAATGACGACTTGCACATCTCCAGAAACTGACCTAAGTGACTTCTGCTGTTTGTTGTAGAGGGAAGAGCTGTGCCTTCAGACATTCCTTTATTGTATTTAGTGTATGTCTGACTTCGGATGTCGGTTTGTGATTCACAAGCTTTGCATTTCGGTTCTAGCACCATCTGATTTCTGATTCAGCATACATTCAGAAATCTGACATCTGCTGGTGTGAATAAGTCTATAACTTTGCCCTCAGCTTTTTTCATACAAATCACTAAAATTTGGTCCAAGTTAGGTTTGGCCTCAAGACACATTCTGTGGCAGCTCTTCCTTGCAGAACCATTTCAGCTCTGCCTCAAGACACGGAACTGCGTTTCAGCTATTCTTCATGACAAAGAATCATTTCAGCTCTGCCTCAAGACACAGAAGTGTGTTTCAGCACCATCTCAAGGCATGGAGCTCTTCCTACCTGTGGTATCCTGAACAGGTAAAAACATCTATGTCTCAGTATCTAGTTATCCTCAGCATCTGTTTCTGTTGCACCCCTGCTTGTACCCTGTGACCCCACGGTTTTGCCTGCTGCATCACGTTGAAGCATTCTTGTAGTTTCCTGGGTCCCAGTCTTGGGTGTTACCACCGCCATAGCAACTGTATCCTGTCCTGTTACCATGGTTACATTTGTTGTATCATCCAAGTTGACTCGGGCTGCATCTGCTGCTGTGTGTGTTTTGTGCAACGTCCCGTCCACCAATTCCTGGGATAAAGAATCCACAGACCCTCTTCCTAAAGTCTCCACGTCTTTCGACAGCGTTGACAAATCCGCCAAAGTGCTCGCCGCAATGTGAATCTTCTCTGCCTCGTCAACCAAAGAATCGCCATCTTGACCGATATTCTTTTCGACAGACGATATAATAGCTGAAATATCGCTAGCAGTTACAGGCTGTCCATTGCTATCGGTATGTACAATGTAAGTAGTAGATGCATCCATAGAACCAGAAGTAGCAAAATCGGTATCTTCAGTTACCTCTTCAACCTGGACCCCAACCAGACTCATATCCCCAGTGGCGCCATCTACATGGGCCAGGGAATGAGTCTCCGCCAGCTCAAGGGTCTGGAAGGTCATGTTACAAACACCACACATGTAGGTGTACTGCTCTTCAGTTTCCTTCTCGGGCGAAGCCTGTTTCGAGCCAATTGGCTGACACTTATGACGACGGAGCGAGGTGGCAACTGTAAACACCTTCCCACAAGCATTACATGTGTGCTTGCTGATGCCGGTATGCATTGTAATATGTGCGTTAAGGTTGGCCTTGACCTTGAAACCACGACTACAATAGGGACACTTGAATGGACACTCTTTCTCATGGGTGAGTTTGTGTCTGTGGAGACCAATACGATGGGCAAATGTTGACGGACACGCATTACACTTGTAAGGCTTGGCTCCAGTATGGGTGTTCATGTGATCGTTCCAAGATTGACGGTTGTGATATTGACGCAGGCATATGACACAGCGGTATGGCAGTTGACGGTCCTCTTGACGTTTGTGTGTCTCCAGGTGAAACTTTAGTTTGTGAGCTTCAAAGAACCTCCATCCGCAAGTATCACACTTGTGTTTCTTGATCCCAGTGTGGCGTTTTAAATGTGTCGTCAAGTAGCGTTTTTCAGAGAACTTCTTACCACAGACATTGCAGGAATGGTTTACAGATGGCTCCGTCTTGGGCAGCAGACTGACGAGACTGTGAGCCCGACGTTGATGTCGATGAAGTTCCAAATGACAACGGAACCTTTGTGAGCAGGTTTTGCATTCCACAAATGATCTACTCTCTTCTGCAGCTTCATCAATGTCATGTTCGTGAACTTTGTGGGAGGCGAGATCATCTTCTGTAGGGAAGGTCTCGGGACAGTATTCACAAACGTATTCACCGCGTTTTGTAACCATGATCATGCAGTCGTTCCTGTCCCGCCCCTTATAGATGACAGTGTCGCCTTGCTGGACATGATCTTCAGCAGTCTTCTCAACCTTGATTACTCTCTCTGCATCTACCCCGCTACTATCTCTGTCCTCATCATGAACATCATCATCATAACCACAATCGGATAAGTCATCTTGCAAATCAGTCTGAGTCTCTTCTTCATTTCTCTCCAAACTTGCTTTAATTTTCTTCTTAATCAAATTCTTTATATCGATATTGTTAAGAGTTCCATTGTCCTCATGAGCTACTGGTTCCATTCCACCGTCTGCTTTTGCTGTATTGTCGTCTGCAAGATCTGGTGCACATGACGTCTGCTTTTCCGTCTCAGTTCCATCAGATCCCACATCTGCATCTTTTGTCTGCTTCTCACCATCTTTTGCCAGAGGAAGTCCATCCATGAGAGGGTAAGAATAAGACTTTCCAGACAACAAACTAACTTGCTTTTTGGAAGAGAGATCCGGAATGTTTGCTTTAGCATTGGAATTATTCTGGTCTGAGGTGGAATGTGTTTGGGGAGATTTCCTGAGTGGAGAGATTGGCATGTTCGCTGATTCTGTTCTTTTCTCGGGTGTCTTGATGTCAACCATAACAGTCAGAGGTTTGGGAGACTTGTTTGGGGACACAGAATCATCACCTACTGGACGCTTGAACTCGATAACCTTCTTCACTCCAGCCTTTGTTATCCACTGAATTTCTGCAGGAGAGAAATCAACAGATACTAAATTTTGTTATTTCATTTTAATACAATCAATCTTTGTTTGTTTGTTGTTTAACGCTGCACTCAGCAATATTCCAGCTATATGATGGCAGTCTGCAAATGATCGAGTCTGGACCAGACAATCCAGTGATTGACATCATGAGCATCGATCTACAGCGGTAGAAACTAACATTTTTAGTCTACAAGTCCTTATAATGATAACATATAACAAAACCTTTAAAAATGGCAAATTTCTGCTAGTCCTTATGACACCGTAACTATTGGGCAGTTTGGCAAGGACTACAGGACTTGTGCCGATTTCTAACGCTGATCTACATAATTGGGAGCCTGACCACCTGATCCCATTAGTCACCTCTTATGACAAGCATAGTCACCTCTTAAGACAATCATGGGTTGCTGAAGATCAAATCTAACCTTGATCTTCATGGGTCTTATATAATTACTCAATTCTTTTTAGTCATGAATCATTATAAAAACATTATCATCTCAAAATTGACCAGCTGATCTGTAGACTTTTTGTCTTTACTAATAAGAGAGTGAATATTGTTTCAGCTGAACTCTTCCTATATAATGATTGCCTCTGGATAATCTGGGACAGGCAAAGAAGTGCAGATAGCATGAACAACAATCACAGACACTTTAATAACTAAAAGTCCTCATTTCAATCAGCTCTTACAACACAATAGGGGGCAGTGGGGTAGCCTAGTGGCTAAAGCTTTTGCTCGTCATGCTTTGAATGCCTGGGTTCGATTCCCATCATGCGTACAATGTGTCAATCCCATTTTGGGTGTTTCCCGCCGTGATAGTGCAGGAATATTGGTAAAAGCGACATAAAACCATACTCACTGCAACACAACAGAGTTACTCGGGATGTATTCAGCCCCTGCATCCCTACAAGGCTCAAAACAGGATCTGACCAAACAGGCAGTATGGACTTTTCAGCCAACTCACAGACATAAATATCATGGATGCCAAGTAATTTAGCATTTACCAAGTAAACCTGTGGTTAGGGTGTGAGCATCAGTACTTCACTATCACATCGGACTACAATGAGACACAATCAACAACTGTTTGCTCAATGGTCTGTCTGGACATCCAATCCACCATCTTGTTGCATTATTCCAGCCTGGACCAGACAATCCAGTGAGGCAATGACCCACACCATCGGCAGTGTTTGACACTTACCAAGGTTTGTCAGTGGTCCAAAGGACCAACACATAGAAAGATGTAATGGTACTGCTGGATCTCTACAAGACACAAGGGTGCTGACCAAGAAAGGTTTTCTATCCCAGATACTTCATCATGTCCATACAACAAGTGAGCAGGCGTACTTAGAATGAGAAACCAGTCAGGAAGGTGACCACTGTACCACGCAGGGTTGTTTAGGATGCTGAGTAGCGTTAGAAATTGGCACCAACCTGCCCAATAGTTAAGGTATCCAAAGGACCAGTAGAAAATTGTCCTTTTCAAGGGTTTCTCTATATGTTATCATCATAAGGACTAGTGGACTAACTGTTAGTTTCTATCGCTGCTGAGGCTGCTGGTGTTGCTTAGAGTTTAGAGTCGATATATCACTGATTTAAAAAATCATACAAACTAAGATTACTTTGTTCTAGCCCAAAATAAAACTACACCACCGGACCAGCATTTATTTAAAGTTACTGGTCCTTAAAGCATTTGTGGTAGGAACTACAAGACTTGGACCAGCAGGCCACTGTTAGTGTCGAACACTGATCGGGGTACAATGACAAACAATCAACCAGTCTAACCACCCGATCCACTTACCTCTCCAACCAGCATTGACTGCTGGGGACAACTTCTAGCCCAGAATCAGGAAGTGAGGGGAAATGGGGTTTAACGTTGTGTTCAAGATTACTGCACTTATATAGCGACTGCATGTACGCATGTGTGGCTGCTTGTACTAGTCCGGACTAATGCCAATTTTTGGTGCTAGCCCACTGAGATAACATGCCACAGTTTTAAAATGAATACCCTACCAAGAAACAGTATATTCCGAGCCAATCCATCCCTGTTCTGTCCACTTAATGCTGAGCACCAGACAGGGTAACAAGAAGTACTATCTTTTACCATCTTTTAGTAAGACATGACCCAGGATCAAACCATGACCTTCCTCTCTCTATACACTAGACCACGGGGTGTTCCAACTCCCATGGGGGTCAACTCTCACGACCATGAACCCAGTGAAGTAAATAGATACCAAGTCTGCCCCTGAAATACCAAGGTTAGGCTCCATCTAACACAAAATTATACTCAAGTGTTACCCAACAGCATCTAAACCATATGTTAAGTCTTAAATGTTCCATTTTCAAAGCTGATGGTAAAAACCACCATTGATATCAAGAAATTACTCACGGACAGCTTTTTTACTCTTTAAATCCCTCTGTTGAATATGGTGTTCTATCTGAAATACGGGAATAGCATAATTAAGAAACATTCACCTCCTGTGAGGAACTCTTTTAAAAATACGTTATAAGTGATCATAGCAATTATGAGAATGAACAAGTTATCTTGAGCTCCAGATAAGCTACATATTTGCGTAAAAAATACAATTTTGTTTTGTTTGTTGTTTAATGCTGCACTCAGCAATATTCCAGCTATATGGCTGCAGCCTGTAAATAATCAACTCTGGACCAAACATTCCAGTGACTGACATCATGAGCATCGATCTGTACAATTGGGATACAATGACATGGATCAACCAAGTCACCCAATCCCGTCAGTCACCTCTACTGACTAGCATGCGTTGCTAAAGATCAAACCTGATTTTCACTGGTCTGAAATACACCAAACAATTTACCATCCAAAGTCACCAGTTTATTTTGTATTTCATTACAGATTCATATTTACTGATCGACTGTAAACATCATACATGACACAGTTCTGCTGCAGTGAATGATACAGAAAAGCACAACATCTTGACTTCTTTAACTTTGACTTAAAACTACCCTAGTACATGGTATTCTACTTTTGTACAACACTCCGGTTCACAAGTTGAGAATTGCACAGGCCGCCATATGTGAATGTGGACAGTTAAATCATCCACCTTACTGCCCAGACATAGCCCCCAGTGACTATTTCCTGTTCCAGCAAATGAAATCTGCCCTACAAGGGAAGATGCTTCCAGGATGACAAGGACATAAAGGCTGCCACATAGGCGTGGTTAGAAGGCCAGTCTGCGGATTTCTATAAAAGTGGTATTAAAAGCTTGAAGGACAAATGGAATAAGTGTATTGAAGTGAACGGAGATTATATTGAAAAATAAAAGCACAAAAGATGTTCTGCGACTTGGTCTTATATTGAAGTTGCAAAACTTATTGAATGCCCCTCGAAAGTCAAACTCAACATTTTTGTTTAAGCAGAACTTCTAATTTGCATCAGATATGACCTAAACACTACCGTATATGGAATGCATCATCAAAGTCAAGAAAATGGTAGAAATATATATCCCTGCAATCTAGTAAAGAATGTGTCTTATCCTTGGTATGGATCAGATGCTTCTAGTTCTACTCCTCAGATGGTAATAAGTTTCAGTCAGACACATCAAACCCTCGGAAACTGAACTCTGTCTCTGGTCCCCAAGAGTTTGAGACAACAAACGATGCCTGCATTTGCAGAGATGCCAAAATAATTATAATGTTTAGCCTACAATTATGCAATGACGCTTGTCCTCCCCCACATTACGATTTTTGGTTTTTTTTTCCACAAATTCTATAACTTCTGAACTCTAACACCACATTGCCTTTCTGAAAAACAGTTACCGTATTTGTCGTAATAAGCACCCTGCTCTTATAAGCGCCCACTTCGATATTTGCTAATATATTGGCTAGTGAACAGTCCCAATTAGCACCCCTTCAGATTGATCAATGTACACAAGACTTATTTATTCGTGTATAATACACACTCGTGTGTTATATGCACCCTTAATCGTGGGCAATTAAATTCAGGAAAATTATATCTGTCATATATAAACATTTCAGGCTGTCAGCATAAACCACAAAAACTCTGTTTTTTTTCACCAAAATAATATTCTAATAAGAGCCCCCTATTTCTAATTTTGAGAGCGCCCTGGGTGCTTATTACGTCGAATATGGTAATTAGTGCCATATGATGAATTTAAAGGTGTGGAGCTTTGACCATATGTTTCACTTGCATCTATGCCTAGCGAATGTTTCAAGGCAAAAACCTGCATTGGAGATTCTATAAGGTGACAACCATTCCAAAACAATGCCATTACAATTCACATGAATGAAATTACTATTTTTTTACTGATTGGGGTTGGCATCTTTGTATCTGGGGCTACTGTGAACATTGAACACAGAACCCACTCACATTACTGAGGATGGACCAGGCTCGGCACACGCCCTGGATGGTTCCGCTGATGGCGATCTTGTCCGCAGTTTGGAAGCATGCCACACTGGTCATGGTGGGAAGGTCATGGGTGATGAAGTGTCGCATGCCCTGAATCTGCAGCAGGCTATCCTTGACCAGGGCAGAGACTCCACCCAAAACCTGCACGACAGAACATTGACATAATACATTGGGGGCATCATGAAGAACTGCTAAACATTATATTGCTTTGTAACTTCATCATGTTGTTTGGGCCAACAGAATCCTTTTTTTACAAAATTCTTTTTCCTATTTAAACTATACATGTCAACATGGTAAAAAAGTTCAAAAACAAATTTTAGAAAGATATTACAATTGTAAATTTTACAATAAATTGTCTATATATTTACTTATCCCATCTCACACTATGCATTTCTCATTCTTCTTTCGATCCTAAGAGGAAACATGCTTAAACAAAGGTTTCCAGCTTCTACAAAATGTCCGCCATCTTGGCTCAAACAAAACACAATACACATACACATTTATACACGTTTCCTCCCGCATCTACCGGTGATTAGGTTAAAAAGTACCCAATGATACAACTTCAAATTTTTTTAATGCAATGGTCGGAAGAAATTGTATATGAAATTAGTATTTTATCAGAATGATACATTACAATATCACCGCAATTAATGTAAACATTATTGAATGAAATTTGTTTGTTTTACAGACTAGATTAGTCCAATTACATGGACAGGTAAGATTAACATAATGCAAGTTTAACAAGGTTGAATCGTTACCAGTGATTGTGTTGCCTCTGATTGTGTATATAGCCAATTGTCAGTGAAACTTGACACCGAGTAACATTTCTCAGTTTGCTATACACATCACTAATTAGTGGTATTAGGGCTTGTCAGGGATCAGATATCAGTTCGCGATATCCGTTATTTCGCTGTAGAGAGTTCGTTATGTATGTAAATTTTATATGATTTTATATAGGGGATAAATCAGGGATTATCTAACAGTTTGTTGTATCCGTATTTTCGTTCTATCTGTGTTCGTTATATCCGTCTTCTACTGTATATATTACAGCATGCTACTTTGGCCTCCCAAAAATAGCAAACAATAAAAAAACCAACTAATTTGCAGTTGTACAGTTTGTATCTGATCTACCATGTCCACTTCACTCTGAATACGGTATTCGATGTAATAAGCGCCCCGCTCTAATAATCGCCCACAGCAATCTTTGCTAATATATTGACTGGTGAACAATCACAATTAGCACCCCTTCCAATTGCTCAATGTACACATGACTTATTTGTGTATAATACACACTCGTGTGTTATATGCACCCTTAATTACAGGCAAATAAATCCCGGAAAAATACATCTGTTATGTATAATACGCACAAACGTTTCTTTTGTATCAATTCAGGCTGTAAGCATAAACGACGAAATTTACGATCTTTCAACTCTTTCACCAAAATTATATTCCAACAAGAGCCCCCTATTTCTAATTTTGAGAGTTCCCTGGGCGCTTATTACGTTGAATATGGTATAATAAGTTTGAACCAAACCTTTTCTCCAGCCTCTGGTAAGGCAAGAAGAGAAGCGAGATTTACATTGGGAAGACCTGTGGAGAAGGGAGACGACTGCTGGGGGTTTGCTGTTGGGTCTTCATCATCATGCGTGTCGCTGTCCAACTGAGCCTGTCGGCATGGCAACGTATAACTACAGTCGACCTGAATACCTGTACTGACCCGGTTACAAGAGTCTTTTAACAAAGAGGCTTGAACACCCCTATCCGTTACCATAGAAACACTGTTATGGTCAAGAGGTTTGGACATGGATAAGACTGAATGTTGCAAGGTTTTGTGTAAACTGGCATTATAGAGATGATCGCCATGGTCACCAGAGTCTCCATGGCAACTGCTTTCACTCTCTGGTATTTCTTCATCGGTGTTCTGATAACTGGAACAACGGCAAGTGGAATGATTGTTAGAAAGAACATTATCCGATTCGTAGAGAACAGAAATCGTATTATGAGTTTCATGTGATGGAAAAGTACTGGATTGAGAGCTAGGACAAGAGTCACTGTTTCCAAGAGCAGGTTCAGCACCACTGCTGAAAACTGTCTCTTCAACTTCACCAGACGGAGACACACATGAATCAGTTTGGACTGCCGAAAGTTGAACATTAGCGATGTTATCGTTACTTGTTGGCCCTGATCCCATGTGAACTGAACTGCCAGTTCCACCCTCCTCTTGGTCCTTATTTAAAACTGTGTCAGCACAGATAATCTCTACTTCCGTGGTGACTTGTTTCACAGGAGCTGTTGACAATTCGATTACATTCTCTCGTTGTGTCCCAGGCTTTGAGAGTTGTGTTTTGGGACTTGCAGCTTTGCTGCGGAATTTGGGCTTGAATGTCACTCGGGCTTCGGCAGCCTTTTGAGTCAGTTTCCTTACACGACCTGAAAACCTTCGACCTTGGTCAGGGGTCAAGGTCAGAGAAAATGTATCAGCAGATTCAACAACCTGATTGTCAGATTGATCAGATATATTTGGTTTCCTTTGCCAGGTGTCCTCATCTTCAGGTTCAGCTACTTTGCTTTGTCCAGACATAGAACCTGGTATTTGTTCACCAACACTCTGTGAAGATTTCCTTCTGCATTTCTTTTGAGGAGTTAATTTTGCATAATTTGATTCCTGGCATTTTCCATCTTCTTGCTTCTGTTCAATGTGTGCTCTTTGATTAATTTCTGTCTCAGTACTAACTGGAGACTCTTTAGATTTGGACAATAATTCTTCCTGGATACCAGAAGTTGCCCTTTCATTAATTTCTGTCTCAGTACTAACTGGAGACTCTTTAGATTTGGACAATAATTCTTCCTGGAAACCAAAAGACGTTTTTCCTTGATTAACTTCTGTCTCTGTACCACCTGGAGACTTCTTAGATGTGGGTAAGAATTCTTTCTGGATACCAGAAGTTGGTAAGCTTGACAACTTGTCTGACTTCCGCACACTGTGATGGGATGATCTATCTTTAGGGCTAGAAACAGGCTTTGTTTTCTCACAGATGGAAGATCTGGTTCTAGGGCTACTGACGGAGGCTGTTTTCTCATTGCTCTGTGTAGATCGTGTTCTTGAACCAGCGCTTGTCTCCAGCTTTTGTGAATCTCTGCTCTTCCTGTAACCAGTGTTAAATATCTGTGTCATCAAAACAAGTAATGGAATCAATGTCAAGGTGACTCTTCTTCACACTGGACAAATGTTCCTTTTCTAAGCTTTCATTATCATGCTGATACAGCCGAGCCTCGTTATCTGGAACCCCAGTACCTCGAACCTTTTCTCTGGTCTCGACCGCTTCACTATATAATGTTCATGTCTCGTTATCTCAAATGACCGAGTATCTCTCAAAGTTACGGTACAACACGGGTCCTGCTTGGTTCGAGATAACAGGGTTCGAGTGTACATGATAATATGTAACATAAACTTTCAAGAATTTGAATATTCTATATTACTTAGCCTGCTCTGACAGTATGCAATTTGCTTCTAATATTCGATAACCATAACACAGAGTGACAACAACTAACATGAACACACAGTTGACTACAGTCACAATTCATTGTAAACAAAAGAACAAAGCTAATAACTGTTGTCGCATATACTCTAAAAATTACCAGCCCTCCCCTAATTTTTGTCAGTCCCAACTTTAAACAAATAAAGAGCGTATGAAATTTACCAGCTTTTAATTCTTTCAACATCATGTTCATTTCACCTCTGAAGTAACTTAGATCTATACAACATTCACACAAAGTTCAGTCAAAATTTTCTCTCTTTTTTAAAAACATTTCAAGACAAATATATATTTAACCTCAAAGAAAAGCAAAATATAATTTCCTTGCACAAAAAATAGACAACAGGAAACCTTAATGGTAACAGACAAGCCGACTTTGTTCGAAATATAACGAATAAGAATATCGCCGATGTTTTGTTCAACAACAAAGATTTATAAGGTACTCTATTTGCCAGTCACAGGGACCGGCAGTCACATGAATTTCCGGTCCAAGCCTAATTTTACTGGTAAAAAAATGGTAATTTCTGGTAAACAGGAACACTCAGCAGTTGAATGGGTGGTTTACAATTTTAAAGAAAATTTGTACGACAAACAAAACATATGATTGATTTTGGTTTTGGTTTGTTGTTTAATGCTGCACTCAGCAATATTCCAGCTGTATGACAGCGGTCTGTTAATAATTGAGTCTGGACCAGACAATCCAGTGATTGACATCATGAGCATCGATCCAAGGAATTAGGATTAATGACATGCAGCAACCAAGTCAGCGGGTCTGACCACCCGATCCTGTTACAGGTCACACCTGATTGATGTGCATATGGCATGTATGGTAGGTTATGAAGCTCTTCTCTCCAATCCATTGTCAGACACCTTCATCACTCTTGCAGAATGCAGTAAACAATTTACGACTTAGAGTTTTGTTTCAAAGGATAGAAGTAGATGGGCCGTTTGCAGTACTTGAGTAAAGTCATCAAACAACATGTCAAATAATTGATAAAATAATAGAGACAGCAAGGGTTATCATGGTTATAAGACACTTAAAAAATAATTCTAAACTTATTTCCAAAACAGAGAGCAATGAGGGAATTGAGTCATAACTTCCCGAGAGCCACACGTTGTGATTCTGAATGTAAGCATGGTGAGTGAGACAAAAAGAGTAGATGAACAACCCGATGACAGACAGCTCTGCTATCACTATGGACCAGCAAATGTAGCAGCACTGTCTGGAATATTTCAAGAAATATTGCATTTGTTGCCTTGGCCTCTTTCTAAAATGCCCCCTTCTCCCCGCTAGGCCAACAAGTGCTCCACAGAAAGAGAGTAAGTGATTACGCTTTTAGCAATATTGCAGCAATATCATGGAAGGGGACACAGAGAAATGGGCTTCACACATTGTAACCATCTGGAGGATTGAACCTGGGTCTTCGGCGTGACGAGCAAACGCTTTAACCACTAGGCTACCCCTCAGAAAAAAAGAAGGATTTACTCAGCATCCTATTGAACTTAGCACACCTATGCTTCCCAATGTTTTTAAAGAAACAAAACCTGCCATCTTTTCCAGACACTAACCCGCTCTGCAGAGTTCCCTGGTGGCCATCTTGGATGTCTTGCTTCTGCCGTTTCCTGCCTCTGTCCGGTGGCTGCAGGGCATGTTTACTACCAGTCTCCTGGAACATCATCACAAAATACACCAGCTTATCATAGACGATTCATAGACAGACCACATGATCAATTATGTGTACAGTTTTTCTTCCTGGCATTCAAATTAAAAAACAGTCTTCTAACATATCATAACAAGGGCCAATAAAAGAATACTTGTGTTTCAGTTAACATGAGGGTAAAAATTTTTTTTTTTTTTTTCTAAAATATACTTTTTATTTGCTTGCTTCATGAGTGAGTGAGCTGGGTTTATATTCCAGTGATGTCACGATGTGTCAGCTTATTCCCCAATTCCCTCCTACCCACACCGATTATAAATGACCGGTCTCTTACACAATATCACAAAATTTTATGCCTTTTTTATTCTTATCATGTTCAAACAGTTAAGGGGCAGTCGGGTAGCCTAGTGGTTAAAGTGTTCGCTCGTCAAGCCGAAGTCCCAGTTTCGATTCCCGACATGGGCACAATGTGTGAAGCCCATTTCTGGTGTCCCCCACCGTGATATTGCTGGAATATTGCTAAAAGCAACGTCAAACCATACTCACTCACTCAAACAGTTAATCTTTAAATATACATAGAAAATTAAACTGAAATTATTTGGCTGGAATAAATGTTGGCTGTTAGGTTAAAACATCAACATGGGAATGCCAATGAATGGAGGACGCCATTTTGTCGAGTTAGTTGCGAGCAAAGCGACATGATCTTCTTTGTGAAATATACCTGATGCCCTCTTTTCCGAGCCATATCCAAACCCGGAATGATCTGTGAGTTCTAATGGTGACTATTTGTAACAAAGGGTTGTATGGTTACACCACTGAAAGACTGTCATAGTTATGTTTGTATCTTGAAAGAAGGTTGACATGGCTGCTCGCGTCTGACAAACAAACCCAGTCATGTGCCCTCGTCTTACTTCCGGTTCACGGTACATCGGTTTGGTGGTAGAGCTACCATCGTTTGTGCACGGCGTAAGGGCGTCTTTTAAATACTTCTTTTTGTGTTTTTCATCTCCAAGGTTTTAGCAGAGGGGCGAGCGGTCGGGCGGGAAAAGTTATGAAAAGGATCTTTATTGTAGAATACCTTTTCAAAATACAAATATTTGACAATTTAAACATATGTATGATCGACTATTTGAGACAAAGCGGAACCCCCAAACCGAAATTTAAACACATTGTGGAAAAGGATCTGAAGAAGAAAGCACATACAGATATAAAAGAAACCGTCACCATAAAGTCATATTGCAAACAAAACACTTTCTTACCATCGACCTATTTCAAGTCATAAAATATAAAACGCAAATTCGAACCAGTTCTAAAATCACTTTCAGTTTACAACAAATAAACTTATGTCAAATAGAAAGTTTACCAACTGAAACGTTTCTACTATTTTGATAACTCAAAAAAATCCATATAAATTAAGACTCAAATCCAACCAAATGAATTCGGTGACAAAATGCAGAAAAAATTATTTTTTTTGTGTGAAAAACGTGTATTTTGCCCAAACGACTTTGGGCTGAGTAGAACGAAATACACTTGCAAAAGTTCTGTTTCAAGCTGATGACACGGCACATTATGAACACATCACCCAAAAGTACCAAGAAAACATGCCACGTTTAACCGCTATACAGATAGAGCCGTTGGTATGGCGCAACAAGGAGCAACGCACGCCGCCATTGCAAGAAAGTTTCAATGCACCCGTGTCACTATTACCTTATTGATGCAACGTTTACAACAGACAGGCCAGACATAGCGTACCCCACAGAAAGACAACAGGCAGGCCAGACATAGCGTACCCCACAGAAAGACAACAGACAGGCCAGACATAGCGTACCCCACAGAAAGACAACAGACAGGCCAGACATAGCGTACCCCACAGAAAGACAACAGACAGGCCAGACATAGCGTACCCAACAGAAAGACAACAGACAGGCCAGACATAGCGTACCCCACAGAAAGACAACAGACAGGCCAGACATAGCGTACCCCACAGAAAGACAACAGACAGGCCAGACATAGCGTACCCCACAGAAAGACAACAGACAGGCCAGACATAGCGTACCCCACAGAAAGACAACAGACAGGTGTAGAAGCGGGAGACCACGGGTGACCACGCCCACTGAACACCGCAACATCCGGCAAATTCAACGCTCCACGAGACAAGGAGGAATGTAATATTTGTAAAAGTCCATTTCCCCTAAGCATCAGTATTACATTCTTCAAGCCGATGAAGAAAAAGGACAGCAGCGCAAGTACTGTATCGATCACTATCGATCATTGACTCCATGTTGAGGATCACTATCGATCAGTGACTAAGGTTTGTTTGTTGTTTAACGCCACACTCACCAATATTCCAGCCATGTGACAGTGGTCTGTAGATAATCGAGTCTGGATTAGACAATCCAGTGATTGACATCATGAACATCGATCCTCGCAGTTGGGATTGATGACATGCATCAACCAATTAAGTCAGCGACGTGACCAGCCGATCTCGTTAGTCGCCTCTTACGACAAGCATAGTCGCCTCATATATATGGCAAGCATGGGTTGCTGAAGACTTTGTCTTCCCCGGATCTTCACGGGTCCAGTGACTAAGGACATGGATGGATTTCAAGCCGCCGGAACAAATCTGTGGCATTCTGTGCAGGAAAACATAGACTCCATATTACAACTTTCACACACGTATCACTCACTGCTGAATGTTTGGTATTACTGGTAGATTCCTCGGACGAACACCCCGATCATGCTGGCCAGCTATCTCCTTCACCTGGCTGACTGAGCCGTACCCTGATATCGTTGATCATTCCTTGTATCGACCGATGTCGGCATGGCTATTTACAGGTAGCCGTTAGGACGGTAGGGTAGCTAGCGGTTAAAGCAGTCGGTTGTCACTCCAAGCCCCGGATTCGATTCCCCACATGGGAACAATGTATGAAGTCCATTTCTGGTGTCCGCCGACGTGATATTGCTGGAATATTGCTCAGTGGCGTAAAAACATTCTTACTCACAGGTGTGACATATCTTGAAGACTGCTTACTACGACGTTTAACTATGTTCATTCACTCTCGTGCGACGCCCATCAATGTGCACACTGCCTGTTAACTTGTAAAGCGCACGTAAAATATTTGGATATTCTTTACATGTTTGTTTCTTTATGGAATTTGTTCGTCTTACTTCACCTTACTTTCCTTAAGCAAATTGTGTGAGTGTTTGGTGTTAGCGGTAGCATAGGCCATGCTTTCCCTTTTCGCGAACAACTGGTGTCATCACTGGTTTTAAGTGATCCATTTATATAACTTGAATCGCTGTTTTACCTTTAATGCCCAATGTAATCTGTTTCAGCGGATAATCGAGACTGGTTATTGTCTGGCGTTAATGTTATATTTAAAAAGAAGAAGAAGAAAACTCTACTGGAATACACCTACTTTAAAGAGTTTTCCTAAAAATGTATTTGCCAGTACATTTGTGAAATTATGGGCCGGTGGATACGAAGCCAGTGCTTGAATCCCGCCATACCGCTGGGTTAACTTGTGTAGGCTCATCAAAGATTTAGTTCAATAATTGTCCCGCCTGACGTAACGCTAAATGAAGAGCCTTTGTTTATGGTGCTGGTGATAAGTAATGTACCATGATGTTTCCCTGAGTTAAAGTCACGTCCGACTTGTTTCAACTAAATCAGTATTATTATAAGAACTATCACTGAATTTGAAGAGTGCACATCACAGATTGAGACTGAACTGTCATTAATCACACGACTGAGTGTTTAGAAGCAGCCTAAAAAATATACTGAACCAAATTAGAAACTTCACAATCCTAAATTTTAACATTTTTACGGCCATTTGTCATGCCACGCCTTTCAAATGTGCAACGTGAACGTGCCATCGGCATGTTGCAGACGGGAACGTCCGTAGCTGAAGTCGCAAGGACGATGGGTTGTAGTCGACAGACTGTTTATGATTTACAGACGCGTCTACAGCAAACGGGTACCACCGCTGATCGCCCTCGGCCAGGTCGACCACGTGTGACGTCACATGCAGAGGATCGTCAGATTGTCTTACGTCACCTCCGTAACCGATTTTTGACGGTTACATCAACCAGAAATGAACTGTTTAGGGGTAGACTGAGTGCGCAAACTGTTCGAAACCGTCTGAGAACTGCTCACCTTCAAGCACGACGGCCATACTGCGGGCCGATTCTGACTCAATTATACAGACGTCAACGTCAATTGTGGGCATAGCGACACTTACGATGGACTCAGAGGAATTGGAATCAAGTCGTCTTCAGTGATGAATCCCGATTTCATCTTCGATTTGCTGAGGGTAGGGCGAGGGTGTGGAGGCGCCGTCATGAACGTTACGCCCAGTGTTGTGTACAGGAAGTTTACAGATTTCGAGGCGGAAGTGACATGGTGTGGGGTGCTTTCTGTGGCAATGCACGTTCCAGGCTTCTTGTCATCCGTGGCAACCTCAACGCTGCTGCTTACCGCGACCAGGTACTGGCACCAGAACTTCTGCCTTTTATGGCAGCACATGGACCCGGTTTGATCTTCCAACAGGACGATGCCAGATCCCACACAGCAATTTTGACAAGGAATTTCCTTCAGAATGCGGGAGTCAACGTAATGGACTGGCCGTCAAGGTCTCCCGACCTTAGTCCCATCGAACACGCCTGGGATGCTCTTGGCAGAAGTCTGCGCACTCTCTAGAACCAACCCCAGAATTTGCAAGATCTTGGCACCATTTTGCAGCAACAATGGCGTCGTCTTCCCAATCATGTGTTCACAAGCATCATGCGGAGGCCTTGTGTGGCAGTTGTCAACGCACATGGTGGCCACACACGCTACTGAACTTGTGTGCCTTCAGATTCTCGTGCTTGGGACTTATGATTTAAACTGTTGATGTTATTACCGAATACCGTAATCATGTGAGGTATTATTGATTCAATAATCACCATTGGCAAATAAAGTGTTTCCACTTCGTGGTTTAACGCACTTAACTTTATTGGACAGGATGTTGACAGACCAGATGTGTACAACAGTGTAGTATGGAGGCCGAGGTGGGCCATCCTGTGACGTCAGACGGTCCACTTCCAGATGTATACCTACAGTGTTCTATTGAGGCCGAGGTGGGCCATCTTGTGATGCCAGAATGTCCACTACCAGATGCATACTGCAGTGTTCTATGGAGGCCGAGGTGCGCCATCCTGTGACGCCAAACTGCCCACTTCCAGATCGATTTTGCACAGAGTGTTCTATGGAGGCCGAGGTGGGCCATCTTGTGATGCCAGAATGTCCACTACCAGATGCATACTGCAGTGTACTATGGAGGCCGAGGTGGGCCATCTTGTGATGCCAGATTGTCCACTTCCAGATGCACACTGCAATGTACTATGGAGGCCCAGGTGGGCCATCCTGTGACGTCAGACTGCCCACCTCCAGATCGATTTTGCAGAGCAGCGTATTATGGAGGCCGAGGTGGGCCATCTTGTGATGCCAGAATGTCCACTACCAGATGCATACTGCAGTGTACTATGGAGGCCGAGGTGGGCCATCTTGTGATGCCAGATTGTCCACTTCCAGATGCACACTGCAATGTACTATGGAGGCCCAGGTGGGCCATCCTGTGACGTCAGACTGCCCACCCCCAGATCGATTTTGCTCAGCAGCGTATTATGGAGGCCGAGGTGGACCATCTTGTGATGCCAGAATGTCCACTTCCATATGGATACTGCAGTGTACGATGGAGGCCCAGGTGGGTCATCCTACAAGGTGGTGTTACGAGGTTGCCAGATTGTCCACAACCAGATGGATATGATGCAGCAGTGGACTATGGAGGCCGAGGTTGGCCGTCCTGTGATGCCAAACTGTTCACTTACAGATCGTTTTTGCACAGC